GTGCAAAAAGCGTTTTAAATTTGTAATGGACATTTTAAACATTTCATTATTTGCAGAAATCATTACGAAAAGATGTGCTGATCAAAATTGTTGTTGTTTTAATCCAGGAATAAAATGTTGATGATGAAAATGAAATCTCCCTGAAGATTTCTATTGATCGAAAACTGTCCAAGATAATGATTTAAATGTTAAAAATTCTTTAACTTTGATTCTATTTGTATTCGATATAAAAATGTTTCATTCTTGAATCGAACCCAAAGAACTCTCTACCACCTCATAAAAAGGCGTCTCACATCGGAAATTATGCGACCGCTGCCGCCGCCGCCATCTCTAAGAACCAACTATCTACGGACGCGAAGTGTTCCGTGAATCTATCATTATTATACCATCCATAATTAATGAACACTTCCAGTTAGTAGCGGCCGCTTCGAGTGGCCGCCGACCAGAAAGGCCTTCTCTCTCACCAAACCCCCCATTCATTCCGCGGAATCGTTCGCGAACAATACGGAGACCCAAGAAGACGTTATACGACCGACGCGTGACGTTTTAATAAATTAAAAGCTCGCTCCCCCCACGAAACGGACAACATTTGCATATTTTTCTCCCCTTTTTTTTTGATCGATGGAGATCTCCCCATGGAGATATTCCATTTTCCACTCGCCACTTTTTGTGTATTTCCATATTACTTTATCATAGATGATGGTGATTAATAATAGGGGATATTAAGGTGGTTTGAACATGTGAAGTTTGAATCATAAATTCAAATTAACAAAATAAAATGTTATCAAGTCGTTATTAGAAGCGAGAAGAAATTCTTAAGATATGTTTAATGAGAAACTAAATGTTTGAATACTTAATAAGTACTAATGTTACTCTTAAAGTGTTTGAGTTGATTGAAAATAAATTAAACGCTCTGTTAGATGGTATTCGTTTAAGTTTCGAATAATCACCAGGTGCGTTGCCAATGAACGTAATTTGCATACCAATTAGCGTTGGTGCCATCATCAATTACTGCTCTGTGTAACCTCTGATTGCGGTCTTGATGGTTAACGAGTGAGAGAAATAAATATACATATGTTTTTAGAAACAAGTAAAAATTTAATTCTTTAAAAAAAGTTTTCAACCCTCTTCCATCTTTATCAACTATTTTTATCTCTACATAGCGTTTTTTAGTGCATACCGTGAGCTTTCAGATCCCGACAGAATACATAAATGACCTATTTTATTGTCGACGTTATCTTGAAAACACGGAGGCCACCGTGATGGCCGTTATAATTAAAAGCAAACATCTAAAGAAGCCGCTGGTCTACCTAAGCTTTAAGCTAATTACACTAAAGATAACTTCTTTTTTGTATCGAACACTTATAGTTTATGTAAAAACATAAACTTTGTGAAAAATATTTAAATTTTAATTATTATTGCCATCAAATTTATCATCAAATTAGTATGTTTAATTGATGATTACGAAAACCTAATAATTAATTGTACTAAATCGTTATATCTAATTTGATTCTATGTTTAATTAAAGCGATTTGTTGTAACAGTGAAATGGCAGAAAATGTAAAATATCTGGATGGCGTTCCAATAAATAACGTCGAAACAAGCGAATTACACAACGAATAATATTGATATGAAGTTTGTACTAACATTTATCGGGTTTTATTAAAAAATAAAAGAATCAAAACAATTTAATTCGAACTGAAATGATTGGGAAAATAAAAATAATTACGCATATTTGCCTTTTTTTGTGTAATTTATGTCTTCTATGTTTATTAAATTTGAATCGGTGAAAAATATATTTGATGCTTATCAATATTATAAGTTGATTTTGACAAATTTTGATTTCAAAGGAAATTCACTAAATTCAATCTGATCACAAAGTTTTTGGTCAAAAAGTTGTCTGCTAATAAGTTGGAGAAAATTCTGTCTTCATAAATCGCACGAATTCTTTTTTTTGAAAATATTTTTTGATATAGTTAACTTGAACTATGTTGAAACTAGTTCGAGGTTTATTTTAAATGTCAACGACAGAACATTTCAAATGATCTTTTCTAATTATAATTCACTTTTGATGTGTCAATCAAAGTTGATGCTTTGAGTCTTCCTTGTGGGAAGTACACAAATATCCCCTCTCTATAAGCCTTCTTTTATTTAATTCCTTTTTAGATGGTTTAGAACTATACTGTACTTATCTTATTTTGACATACTCTTTGTCATCTAGATTTAGCAAGTATTAAAACTTGTGTCTGGTATTCATCATTGCATATTTGAATAAATAATGCTAAATCAGGATCTATTTTGTATAGCAAGAATTGAGTTCTATGTGCCAGATGAAATAGTACATACAGGAAGCATTAGAGGTAGTTCTGGCTTATCAATAAATTTTTGGGCTAAACATATCCTTCTTTACAAATGGCAACTTAAAACATTCATGACTTGTGACTATACGTTTTTTTTAAATGTAACACCCTGTATATTTTATCATATTATGAATAGAATTAAATTTGTTTATACAGCCGTATATGTTACTAACTCAGAGCGTGCATAGTTCTTCAGATATTCAATTGTTTTTCCAAAATCATAGTATCCAAAGATATTAGATACGGTATACAGCGTGTTCATAAAGTTTAGTTACTTTTGATGTTTTTCAAATAGCTTTTGCTTCGATTGATGTGTATATGACAGTTTCTAGTGATATGCTAAGGTATGTTGTGGAATTTGTCATAGTGAGGGACTGACTGTTATAGATTGTGACAGGTGTGACAGTATTAATTCGCAGATGAAGTTAGTTACGTTAGTTCTGTTAATGTTAACGTTAATTTTCAATTTCTGAAAGTAGTTTTGAAGGATGGTGGTTGATGAATATGAAGTTTTTTGATAAGTTGATTTATTTGAAAAGTTTGCGAGAAAATCACTGTTTTGCCTGTGTACATAACTAGTTTTTTCACGGTGTCCAGTGATTCCAGCTGATTGAGTTTTTAATCGCTCTAGTTCAAAGCAGCTATTCAGCTGGGTCAGTTTGTGGATGAGAGCGTCATGGAATCATAGGCTCTATCGATGCCAAAGTAGCGAGTGAGGTTGCTTTATTACTAATTAATATTTGTTCAAATATGATGGAGATGTTTGTTTGTATGTATCTATCAGCGAAAAGACTCTCCGTAATTTTTGCCAAGATAAACAAGATAGAAAATGGGTTAGGTTGGGTTAGGATTTTGAATTATTGATAGGATTGCTTTACTTAAGGTTTATGTAGTTATGTATGACTATTCGTTTATGTATAATATAATATCCGCGTCTGATTAGGTTATGTTGTTATCAAGGTGAAGAAGAAGGAGGTTGTGGGAACAATTTAGGATGCAGGAATGTTGAGGTGTAAGTTTGTTGCGTTGCCATTAACTTTACGATTTCTGGAGTTATTTGTATTTCGATCAGTTTGACAGTTCTATTTTCATACTACGTGGGGTTTTGAGTATTTGTTTAATTTCAATAAGGTAATCCATAGATCTATGGTTTATGACCATAGATATCTTCTTCTCAATCCGAATCTCGTATAGTATAGTAGAAACGAGCTTTTATGAGTTGGTCTGCAGAGCATTTCTCCATTCATTCTTATTCTCAGTTATATTGGATGTGCGCGTCAGACTTTGTCCTGTGATGTTTGTGATAAGGTGTATCTTGCCAGCTTCCACGTGACCTTTTGCCAGCTACTATGCCCTTTGAGGTAGGTCTTTCAAATGTCAACAAATTTTGCAATGTTTTCATCTCCAGGGCATCGATTTTCTTTTTTTCCATCGTTTTTAATGACCAGCACTTTGATCCATAAAGATAGATAGAGAAGGCCAGGCTGCTTACCAGCCTCATTTTCGGTGTCAAAAAGATTGCATGACTTCTCGTACGTATTGACTGCGTCGATCTTCCTTATTTCAGATCTGTTATCGTTTGCTCGGCTAATTATCATAATTTTAGTTTAATTTTTAAATTCTGAATCTATATGTCTTTGTGATATTTTGTGTTACATTGTTTATGTCTTTTCTTGATTAGGTCTTCACTGTTCATTAAATTAAGACACTTCAACAAGAATCTACTTTGGAATTGCAATTTTTAAACTCAGAGCTTTTNCGTTACATTGTCTATGTCTTTTCTAGATTAGGTATTCATTGTTCATTAAATTAAGATACTTCAACAAGAATCTACTTTGGAATTGCAATTTTTAAACTCAGAGCTTTTTAAGCTTTCAGAGTTTGGCTTCAAATTAAGTTAAAAATTGGTATTCATCTAAGTCTTCTAGATTTTTCAAAAGAAGACTTAGATGAATGACAAAAGAAAATATTCTTTGACTTGAAATTAATAGTCCTAATTAGAACACTATCTTTTCTAAATCACTCTACAACTCTTTATATTTTTACCAAGATTAATTAATTAATTATTTTTAAAAAAATGTTCATTAATTTTAATTTCATCCATCATCGCTTATCAATATATTATATTAATGACTTTCTTATCACAGTAAAAATTTCCTTTTTCAAAAAGTTTATTATTACATTTAACTTATAAAACGTTATTTTTGGCTTAATTTCGATTTTACCTTCAAATTGAAAAAAAAATTTCGATCTCAATGTTGAAATCCGATTTCTTATGTGAAATCGTTTAAAAATATCTGAATTTTATTACAAAATGAAAAGCTATTTATACATTTATTCGACATAGGTAACTAAAGACGTAAAATTAATCAACTTCGACGTAGCAATTAACTTCGTTACACATTGCCAAATACGCGTCTTAATTGCATTGACTTAATTGAATTACATGCATTATTAATTGCGTGCATAAATTAATTCGTCTAACGTATAATGCGTTGTTCTAAAATCACACACATCTTTAAGTATTATAAATTAATTGTTTATTTTTCAAATTTATGTAGCTATTTTTGAATTAATTCAGTACAACTTCATTTTTACTTTTTAATTAATTTTTTTAATTTATATATATATTTTTTGTAGTTTAACGTACAAAGATTACAAGAAACGACGCATCCCTTGGCCCAAAGCGGTCATCACTTGGGTGAACCAACGACGACCAGTAGCATGTATGCTCATAGTTCCACGGGTGGTTCGACACCGAGCAGCCCCCTACGGCCCCAAAAAGAGGAGGATTGTAGTCTGCACGGCAGGAGCAGTACGGACGGTAAGTTTATAAAGTAGTAGGTACACACAACAACTACAACGACGGTTTTGCAACGACGATGAGGCGCATAGCCAAAGTGTCTTGAGACTTTTTTTTCACGTTCCAAGTTAATCTATAGACGCGCGTTCTCGGCGCCGATAAGAGCCCCGCATTATTCGAATTTCGGAACACGGGAATTGCGTAACGGCCTCTACAACTATGGTAAAATTTATCGTGGTGATATCCAACGTCGATCGGTTACTGGTTTTAGTTGGAAACTGGAGAAAACTATTTTAGTTAACTATTTAATCGAGAACTTATTATTTACACCATTTTTGATACAATTCAATTTTATCACATTCGTCTTTGTATTAATTTAATCTAAAAAAAAAGCAATTTTCCAGTTGTTATTTCGTTGAGCACGAAGATTAGTAATATTATCTGGGATTTATGTTTTTTTCATAATGCACAAATCTGCGCCAAACTGAGCATGACAAACGAGCAAATCGCTAATTTACCACATGAATTCTTAATTTCCTGTATTTACTCGAGTTTTATTATTTCCAACTCATTACTAAGGCAATAATAACTGCTTACTGCTTAATATAAGTCGTTATTTACTCAGAAGTGGTGTTTACAATGCTTTTTCTTAGTCCTTGGTAGTTATTTCATCAGTGCATTTAGTTTTTAATATGGACAGAAGTAAAAGTTAACATTGGCAATTTTGTAAGATAATACACAAAAATTCGAACAACCATGAATATGCAAAGGAACTGTTTTAATACAATTCGTTATGCTATATCAGAGGTTTCTATATAAATCAAAGTTTGCTTATAAACCAAGAATGACACAGAAAAACAAATATTGTTAGAATACAGCCCATAATTAATCAGGAAACATAATCAAAAACCAGTAAAGTTGATATATTTGAAATGTCTTATAGCGAAATTCACGGTTTAGTAGGATCTTTGGAGCGGGGAGTAAGGCATGCGGGGAGAGGAGGTTCCATTCAACCGGAAATGATGGTGCTGGTATGTATGTGTTCCAGACAGGACGTCGGCTCGTTATTTCTTTATGTAGGTAAAATAAAGGCGCGACGTTCAGTCTGGAATGCACCATCCTTTCTGATTGGAACTCCCCTCTCCCCGCAAATTTCTGCAGAAATTAATATTAATGATTAAATATGACATGAGATTCAGTTGCTTCAAAACCTAAGATCCCAAAAAGCTTTCGTTTTTAATTTTCTCCCTAGGAACTAATTAACTTAATTAGCTTTTAACTAATAATTTTTTAATTCTATAAAATTAGTCGTGCAAGTAAATTGCTGGGCAAATAAGACATAGCAATAAATGGTGCAAGATAACTTTTCTCCCTTGCCACATAATCTGCATAAATTATTAGTTAGAGTTTCGATTAAACAGTTGTTTGAAAAAAACATCATTGGAAATCTTAATTTGAAAAATTCTAGATTTTATAACTTGCTGTGTTGGACGATTACCTACAAAGTTCAAATAAGGATTCTTTGCTATGTTTTCTTTATCTTTATTTATCTTCTTTATTTTATCCTTCTATTCCCCTCTATCTGCTGTTTTTCTCCACATTCTCACTTTCAGCAGCTATATGTCTCATCGGACACTTCGAAATGTATACCATGATTGTTTTATCTTTAATGGTTTCCATTATAACATAACACCACGCTTGTAAGTGTGTACCAACCAAGGTTGCGATGTTTATTCTTCGATGACCAAAAAAGATTCAAGCAGTAGCATTCTAATTACATCCTTCCTTTGCTTACTTTTTAATTTGTATATGGGCAGAAGTAAAAGTTAACACTGACAATTTTGCAAGATAAAACAGAAAAATTCGAACAACTATGAATACCACCTGCAACTTGCCATGTTGGACCATTACCTACAAAGTTTAAATAAGGATTCTTTGCTATGGCACTACAAGCCAAATTGAACCCTAATCTTGTTTATTTGCTGCCTCTATTCCCCTCTATCTGCTTTCCTTCGCCACATTCTCACACTCGGCAGCTCGTATGTATCATCTAATGTATACCTTGATTGTTTTATCTTTAATGGTGTCCATTGTAACACCACGCTTGTAAGTGGTATACCAACATTGCGATGGTTTATTCTTCTATGACAAAAAAAGATATTAGATAGAAGAGATTAAGTATTAGTCCATCCCAATTCGTGGTGCAGTTGTAAATTAACGTCACAGATAGCAATACATCGCGTGCCGTCGGTCTCTTGTCTAAAATTGGTCTCAGTACGTTTACATACACCAATTAATAATACAAGATGTTTATCTATTTGCCATCGTGATTTGTAACTGCGCAGCGAGATGGAATACACTGTTGTTCACAACAAATTACGTTTTGTTTTGATGATCACAAGACATTACAACCGACGCACTATAATTGCAATCTTCAACATTTATTACATTCAGAAAGTTATTATATCGTAGTTATTCAACAATTAATTATCCAAAATAGGAGATCACTTGTAGACTTTAATAACTATATTCTCTTTTTTACAACCCAAGAATATTTGTGGCGGTTATCTTTTGTTATATATTTCAGTCATGGTTTTAGTGAATACTGGTTTAGACCAAGTTTCAGATATAACGGCGAGTCATTGTGAAAATCATTGCTTTAATACCAGACTAAGTACAAATCTGAAATTGCACTACAAGGGTTCATGCCGAAAACTTAGAAGTAATTTTAAATGACAAGAATTACATTACAAAGATTTCAGATGATTTAATTTTGTCTTTGTATGCTGGGCAAGCTGAAAGAAAGTATGGAAACGTTTATCAAACATGAAATGTTTATCATCACAAAGCAAGAAACCGTAAAAGACGTGGGATAGAAAAGATTAACACTTAACATTGTTTAGACTTTATTCTTACAAGCGCAATATGGGGTTATTCCACAAAAATGAGTCACGTGGCTTCAAATACACAGAATAAGGTGGTTAAGCGACTTCCATTTCAGTGGCTTCTCGGTACTCTAAAGTCAGAATGCGCTCTCCAAAGTGCTCTATCAACACATGATACTCTATTGGTTCGATGAGGTGGTCTACTCATTCTTGCATGAAGCACATCTCAAAATCTTAGTTACTTTGGATAATAGAAATGATCATTTTCTAAAATTTTTACATATTATTCTCACACCAATTATTAAGCGATTTAATATTGGATGTCTAACTCAACAGACGTTTTAATGGCTGATAAGTTTGGATTTTGTAAGAAAAGAGCTTCAGGTCTCCAAAAAAACAATTTGTCGCAATCTCCTGGTTGATTCCGATTTGTTGTGAAGTTCCTCCGATTGATGACCTTGAACTCTTTTGGAACACAATGTTTTCTTAACATTTTTTTAACATGCCCTGCATTCAAGTAGGTACTCAATTTCAACATACTCTTGCCAAAATATATATAAATTTAAATCTTGACCTTGTGTATCAAAATAAATATGAATACGTCGATGTAGCCCCTCGGATTTAAGTAATCTCAACTAAAACCCATTCTAATTTCTTTAAAAGTAAATTTAGTAGAAACCGTATGTACATGTAACAACTATTGTATAACTTTTTTCTTTAAAACGTTAAGATTTAAAAGAAGGAAATGTTCGTAACTAGTTATGTAAAAGGTGTATGTATCTTTTTCCGTCTTGATCACGAATTGAATCGATTAATCAAGTAAGCGTCGACACGCGATCTACGGTATAGTTGATTTGCATACAGCAAAGGAAGAAGAACTTCGCGTGGTCTCCTTTTGAAGCAGCTGTTTATCTCGCTTGTACATGTACGGACGTGTCCGTTATGGACAATTCTTCGCAACGTACGCGGGTATCATATTTAAAAGTCTTCCGATACGAAGAGAGTTACTTATCGCGGTTATTCATTAAACGAGGAGTAGGTAGACTTCTGTTTTGTTTCCCCTCTATTTACCCGTTTAATTATCTTTTTATTCGCCGTAATATTCTCCCCAGGTAGATTGTTAAATGGGGTTGCGAGGCGTCTTCGTTTTCGTCATCGTTATTCGTTTTTGTTCTTTTTTTTATTATTTCGCTTATTTGTTTCGAATAAAATACGGCGTCGCCGCGAAGATATACAGGCGCGTCGGAGCCCCCAAAAAGTCGCGACTGTGAAAAAAACGGGCGGCCGAAAGGGGCCCTAAAAATGGGGTGAGGACGGGGGGAAGCGCGGGGTGTGCCACGGTCGGCGACAAAAGCACACCACTTATAAACGGCCCGGGTCCCGGTAATCTACTGTCTTTGAAATAAATTACAAGGTGGAAAGGGGACAACTTGTTGTATAAATAAGGTAATTTATGTGCGCGACTCCAGAAAAAAGGCGCTTGTTCGTTGACTTTTTTTCGTTTCGTTTTTGGATCGCGTTCGGTTCCGTCTTTTGTTCTTTTCGCTAGCAAACAAATCACGACGATAATTCGCTACGGTAATTTTTTTTTACACAATAATTTTTTAAATTGTTTGTCTTAAATCTTATTTTGTTTTAGATCCTCAACAAGGAGCCGATGATGATTCCTCGGAGGAAACGAACTCCAGGGCGCAATACGTTTCGGCAAATTGCGTCGTTTTCACCCATTACCAAGGGGATACGGCCAGCGTAGTGGACGAACATTTTTCCAGGGCTTTAGATAAAAATAACCATGCCAAAGGTAAGCTGTTCAAAGAAGGAAATGAAAATAAACCATTTATCCAAATTCGTTTCTGTAAGAAATTTCTAAAAACTTTACACCCGGTTTTCAAACAGCGTTTCAAACAACAACCAAAGAAAGTCTTGTTACCAAACGGGACCGACACTGGCTCTCAGTGGAGAAAGGATATCTAGACCAACAAATATCCAATTAAGATTCCGCACGTTCCAGGTGCGAATTCTTTCCTTTGTAATTTGCAATTCTCACTCTATCTGGTTCGGGTATCTTGCGTGACGTTTTATGTTCACTTTTCAACATTTAATTTACATTTTCAAGAAAAAGTTACTATAAAAACTAGATTTTCTTTTTATTTCCTTATGTAACTTTAATCATAATCATTGATGATAATATACAACTTTTTATCTTGAAAATTATTTCTTCCGTAATCCTTAATATAATACTTTTTCGATTATTGATGTTAACTTTATAAAAATTCTGCAAATCTTTGCAAAAGTAATGTCTTTTATTTTGGGCAAATTTTGTATACAAATTAAATTGCTTTTTTCACAAATTTTACACTCCCAAATTCTCCTATAGTTTTATATTTGGTATTACCACCATAAAACATTCAACTTTATGGTTCGACATCTTGTTAACATTTGATCAAAAGAATTGCAGTAAAGTTTACAAACCAGTCACTTGTGTAATAGTGTACCTATTAGAGACGTGGAAGTACTGATTGTACAACGTTAAGAAGTAAGTTTAAGTTATTGGGAAAGCAACCAAAACGGGGAAGGAATCAAAAAGCCAACTTCATCAGGGCACACTACAAAAGAATACAGGGACAGTTACGCGTAATTCCAACAACATTTCGAAACTTACATTTAGAGGTTAAAATGTAAAAACTACTACGTTAGTACATTAATGTTGAATAAGAAATCCCCAAAAAGACATCAATTAAAGAAGGAGGGTGATATCCAGACCAAAAATACTAGAAGTAATTAAATTAACGACAACGTGGTTAACCACCAACGCCATCAACCGTCAATAAAACCGTCTCTGGTGGAAAAACTTAAGGAAACAAAAGTCACCAGGTTGACGTTCGACAGAGAGAGCAGATGGCGTTGTTATTGGAAACATCAAAGACACAAGGAAGAAAGGAAAGGAACAAATCAAGGACCAGAAACTTACAAAACGAATCCCTATGTACCTAATGTACTCAGTTATGTCCAACTATGTCCATATGACCGAGTACATTGTTCGTTAAAATTTCGATTCAAGCAACTAATATTTATTCCTGTATTATAAGGAATTCTTGTGGAAAATGTAGTTTACGCAGTTCCGCAAGAGACACTTGGGCAACCTTCCAAACTTATTTCCGCATGTTTTTTCACAATAAAACTTAAATCCAACCCAACCCAAGCCAACTAGTGCTTGAATCTTTAAACAATTAGTTTTCTAGAGCAAAAAAAAAATTGCTTGAAGTTCAATCCTTAACATATCTAGGGCTAGTTACTTACTATAAACAGCTTTTCAAATCGATTTATTAGAATTTAGCCTGCAAAAATATTTACCAACAGTATTGATCAAGTCTACATAGTTAACAGTCTACATAGCTTCTCGTACTCAAGTCAACCTCACTTTCTCATGGTGTTAGAGTCGGGGCTGGGTTTTGCAAACCACACTCTTCTAATCCATAGAACTGGATGATAGCTGATCTAGTTTCAGAACTGGATCTGACCCTCTGCGTTGTGAGTAAAGGACGCTATGTTGCAGAAAAGTCTGTATATGGGTCTATGGGTGATTTCAAATTTCTGTGTAAACAGATAGTTGAATCTTTCTGCAAAGTAATGTCAAAACTGAAACTTGAATTTATATTCAATTTATACTTATACCATCTTCCTAAGTGATCTCGAAATCATTCTCCAAACTCAAACTTAACTATTTTTGCCATTAGATATTTTTTCGTATTTTTTTGCAGAGTTAGGTTAAAATTAAAACCTGAATCTCTTTGTATTTCGATACTTGGACAACCATCTAAACTTATTTTCACTTCTTTTCTCTCATTTCTAACTAGTACTTAGTAATTAGATATTTGATTTATCTTGTAAATTAATTTCCAAATTTTTTCAAAAATTAACTCCAAATCTCATTGTAATCGATGACATAAAAATGAGACATCAATCTTTGTGCAAATAGGTGCTTCTAAAATGTTTGGAAACCTGAATTTCTGCGCATTTGGTCTTTAAGTCATCTCTAACTGGAACAATTCGCATTTCGATTAGGTACATGCTCCCATGTTAGTGATCACCAAATTAGTTTTATGGTAAAATTATTATGGGTTCTTATTAATCTGTAATTGCTAGAATTATTTCGCTCTTCAGTTACTTTTTCTACCTCGATAATGCAAAATCGTAAATTATTACTCATTAAAATGCTAAAATATCGTAACGCTTAGTTCGGTTAATGTTTTTTTAAAGCTTTTTACAAAGTGTAATTATAAACTGTTATCAACAAAGAATAAAAATGATAAATTGGCATGCTATATCACGTAAGAAAGAGAAATTCAGCAAGAAAATAGCACACTTTGTGGTGTTATTCCAACTGGTATGGATCAAACGTTATGATCAATTTTATCGAAAACTGTGAAAGATCAAGTAATTAATATTTTCTCTTGTATAGTTATTAAGCAGACATTTTTTGATAAAAGTAATTAACAATATCTCTGACTTTATTAATAATTAATTACAATTTCTATTTTTTGCAACTTCACGCTAGTTAGGACCACTGGGATCTGTGTTCTTCATGCGCTTTTCACTTACATTCCAGCCATCCTGTATATTTCATTAGATCGAAGAAACTAGTATTTAGCAAAGCGCACCTTCACAACAAGGCAAGCAAGCTTAATGATAACTCTGGTGTGAAGATCCTATTCTAAGGGATAAAAGATTATCGAAGATGAGTACAAAAGAAGTGCAAAAGGTATAAACATAAGAAGAAATGCAACACGAGAAAACATAAAACTAGTAGATCAAAATATTTAATTAAAGCGTAAAATCTCTAATTATATTTACGTGGCATTTACGTAGTCATTATTGCAGCAGCTGTTAAACCGGTACATACACATTATAACCGAAGTGTGTGTAAAGTGAACTAGTTTTATGAATTTGTGTTAATCAACCAAATAAAGTATTTCTTAGTTCCTGTTTAAGCAGTTACCGCAATGAAGTGATCGTTTTGAATTTGATCCGTTCTTGAATAAATTGGTTATTTCGATTTCAAAACGACATTTCATGAAAATATAGTCCCAGATTATTTGACCTTCCTTCTTTGGAGTTACTCAAGTTTATGCAATCGTGGTGTTAAGTGGATAGTGACGAAAAAATTATGGAGCGGTATTGATTTGAGGTAACATTCGCTATTATAACATTTTCAAAACCACAAGCAGTTTTCAAAAAAATAAATAAATTTCCTGAAATTCATTCCTTAAGCAATGTGTTGATGTAATGTGATTTCTGCACAGTGCTTGAATGTCATAGTGAAGAAATTCAAGTAAGCGCGGGTAATATAGTTAATTTTTGACAATCATTTCATTTCAATCATTCCTCATATTCAAGTTAACATCATCAATGATGTTAGAGGTGGATATCTCGCTTGAGGTTTCCTGTCGGGGCTGCGTTTTACAAATCTAATATACAAGATTGCTCCAGTTACAAACCATACGCTTCTGACCTGCAGAACTAGATAATAGCTGATCACTGTTTTTTGTAAGTTGATGTCTAATAACAACGAAGAAGAAGTGAGACAGGACATATCGTCATCAATCATTTACAGCTAAATCCAAAAGATAATAAAGTTACCTGGGATGCTGTAAATGTTATTCTTATACATTAACCACGATGATTGTGCTCTTTAAGGTGAGATCCTTGCAACTCAATGAGCAAGAACAACTTCTTAACACTACCTATTTTCGTCCCCCATATCACAGTCGGAATAAATGACATTGAAGTTAGAAGGTCAAAAGTCAAGGTCCTTTCCTAACAAGTACTAAAAGCTGCAATGAAGAGTATAAAATTGAACTTTGCTGTATTACCAAGTACACATGGAAAGCTTAGTAATGATGTGGTGCGATTATTGTAATGAAATGTACATTCGTTTAAAGCAGAAGAAAATTTATTGAAATTATTGATGAAATGTATCAAATGTGCGCATTGAAATTGCAAACAAATTACATTTGTATATCATTATATACAATTAAAGTGACAATTCTCAACATTGGTATTTCTTTAATTAAATTTCAATATACTTGATTTAATAAGTAATATAAAGTTTAAGGTATTGAAGTTTGATGGAATTTATTTTGACATGATGGTTGAAGGTCAAAAAGTTTGAAAGTTAAGAAAAACTTTAGTCCTAAATTGAAAAACCGATCGGGACTCGAGTGACAAATGACCCCTAATCCGCATTCCGCTCCCACGTGAAAAATTCACGAATCGGAAGCCCCGGATGAGACGGTTACGTAACCAAGATCGATAGGCGGGTTTTCCTTTGTCTTCCCGCGTCCTTCGTGGCGTCCGCCATCGATCAATCCGCGGTCTCGAAGACACCAGAAGGTGCCCGACCGCGCCGTTGATTTATATAAAACCGCATCTGATTACCGTCGCCCCTTCCACCCGCGAGTCCCCTCATTTCCGAATGTTGCCCGTCCACAGTTTTATACCGTCGATTATCCTTTGAACTCGTTCCGACTCGCTCCCGGTTCCCACAGCGCCGCCGTCGCCGTCGGTTCTTCTTCGACTTATGTACTCCTTTTCTCTCTCTCATCGTTTGAGCTTGCTGTGCCTTTAACTTCTTCGGTTAGGTTGGAACTTGTTGGTCGTTTTAGTTTTTTATTATTTGGATGAGGCGAAGCGTGATCTGGCCAATGGAAAACGAGAAGGGCAAAGGATTAATCGGTCCAGATTAGTAGATTTATACTCGGTGGACTCTTAAAAAATCGACCGGTACGGTACTGTTCCATTAGGCTATCGCCACCAATTTGTATGCGGTGTTTTCCTGTTAAAATGCCACGGATAATTACTAATTAGCGACGCGTTACGTCAACGCGTACACGATCGAATAAAACATTCAAAGAAAAAGAGAAAAATAACGGTTTTAACATGATTTTCCTCTTCCTATTTCTATTAACCAGTTTTTTTTTTCTTTAGATTATCCAAATTGGAATCGATTTATAATCCTAATTATTGAGCTAGTTTACTGGTTTTAATTTTTTTTTGAAATTCTTTAAACAAACTTGATCTTTATGATTTCGTCGAACTACTACATGGTCGTCAAGATCCTTTCTGTCAAGATTCGAATCCTCTCCAGTAATCGCTTAAATTTATAGTAGGGGTTTCGTGCGGCAACGATTCTCTATACGAGGGCGGCGGTTCAGATTTTACGCCGGTAGTGGATCGGTCAATTTATCGCCACTCTTCTTCTTCTTCGCCAGTAAAGAGCGGCTTACATAAAACCAACAACTAATTATTTGCTGCTTTGACGTTAACCGCCGCGATCGCAGATAGAAAACGAAAAGAATCTCGAACGAAAACGGGGGCTGTAAAACCAACATAATAAGACTACAGGATTTACATCTCTTTACAGTTTATGTTCTTGTATACAAAATACGGAGCGATTTATATTAAAAAAAACAAAACAACGTATAGTAAAACCTCAATTTCATAAAATATTTAGGCCCACTTTTACCACCTCTTGATAAATTTATCCGATAGATAAATCCAGGTCTTAGCCAATGAGAGCGCTTAAAACCTCCGTAACCATGGCAACTATCCTCTAGATAGTTTATCATGAGGATGGTAAAAGTGGGCCTTAGGTCCATTACTACCATCTTTTACTTAAATTTATCTTATAGATAAACCTATCTACTAGCCAATCAGAGCGCGTAAAATAGCCGTTACCATGGTAATAATCCCTTAGATAGCTTAACCAGAAGATGGTAGTAACGAGCCTTAAAATGTTAGTTCTCATAGATAGAATTCAATTCGGGTTATTTCCCAAGTTGTCTATACGATGTATAAATCAAGAATAGTAGTTCTCGTTTTAATTGGTATTCAGCGCTAGATTTTTATTGAACTAAAAGTTGTACTAACACTAGACTTAGAATTAGAAACATTCGGGTTTAGCCGCACGTCTCTTAATGGTGGGTTCATGCAAAGTGTTTTAGTTTTAGTCATAGTCATAAGCGTTTGCTTTAGCTGTAGCTAATAAGGAAAGGGATTGGTTCATGCAATATTTAAGCACAGCACATTAAAGGAGGATTTTGACATACAAACAGTCGTGCCACAACTCGTGCCAAATAAAAAAAAAGAAATCGGGAGTGAAACTGTTTTGTTTATTATGAACAAAAAGAAAATTGTTGTCGCTGCTTGAATAATGTGCTTGAATGCAGCTCTATTAATCGCACAAAGATTAAGAAATAAAAGACGACGGCGTTTTGGCAGAAGACCAATCAATAAAATTAGAAAATTAGAGAGAAATTATGCCATTCTGATTAGAAACATGTTGGAGAAAGAGAAAGATTGCAAATCAATTTTTTAAATATGTGTGCATGTCGTTCGAAGAGTTTAAGGAATTGTTAAGACTGGTGGAACATTTTTTAGCAAAAACACCAAATAAAGGTGCAATTTCAGCCGCTTATAGGTTGATAGTAACCCTACGATAAAATACAAAACCTAACTGATATTATAAGGACACAAAAGAGAAAAGTGCGCATGCGTCACGTTACGACCAATTGTTTTAGCTTTAAGAAGTTAAAAGTTGGGCAACTCTTGGGACTAGGACAAAAACCATTTTAGTCGTAAGGTGTTGCATGAACAGTACTACTATAACACAATACCTTAACTTTTCACTCTTACGACTATGCCAACAACTACGACTAAAACACGTTGCATGAACCCACCCTTAAGACTGCTAAATTCGAATGTTTCTAGCTCTAAGTCAAGTGTTAGTTCTAATGCTAGTATTAATTCTAGATTTAGTTATTATTCAGCGTTAAACTGTTGTATATTTTTCATTGATTTAAAACCAGAACTAACACTAGACCTAGAACTAGAAAGTTTCGGGTTTAGCCGTGCGTCTTCAGCCGTTAGTTCTAGTTTTAATTGTTATTCAGCGTTAGATTGTTGTGCTTTTTTTANACTTTCTTCGCCGATTATCTTCTTTGAAGTAGGAGAACCAGACTTCTATTTTCCATCCTACTCTTACCATATCCGGATCTTTACTTTCTTTCAATCTTTTGCTCAAGTTTTGAACTCTCTTCTAGAATCTTCTAGAATGCCTTTATCTCCATGGCTTCAAGTATATCCACGTTTCTGACGTAGTAAAATTTCTTTTTTTTTGTTCTTGTTGTTTTTAACATTTCTGCTCCCTATATCAACTGTGGCGTTATTATGGATTCTATTATGACGAAATATAACTTATTTGCTGTTCTTTCCGCAATGTTTATCCTTTTGGCAACTTGTTATGAGTTTCCCTTTAAATGTTACTCCTAGGAATGTGATTGCTCTCTTCATCTCTACCCCTTGGGGATATTCAGAAAGCTTTTTCTTCGTGTTTTTGATGATAAGGCCTAGTATATCTGCGTATTCAATCCAATTCTCCATTATCTGCAGTACCAGTTCAGCCTTTGAAGCGCCAGAAGCGGTGCTTCAAAGGCTGTTCTGGTTTGTACAGCTGCGAAATTTTCTTTCAGATCATACGATTGTTGCAACATTAACTGATGATACATAATGAGACATAGTCCAAGAGTGGACACAAAAATAAATAATCAAACTGAATGAGTTAAAGTCTTCTCAAGTAAATTTCACTTATTATAAAATGGGCAAAACGCCTTCTATCAGTGCACATAAATGGTGTTGTAGCGCTATACGCTAACACTACAAAATATCTAGGTATGACTATGGACACAAGCCTCAAATAGAAAGCACGTGGGAGGAAGAAAGGCGAACAAGTCGCCTTCAGAGTGCGACAACTGTATTGGCTCCTGGGGTGACACTTCAAGATGTCTACTACAAATAAATTACTCAACAACCAGATTCTTAAACCAATGTAGATATGTGGTATTCAACTGTGCGGATGCGCAAGCGAAAGCAATGTTAAGACTATCCAAACACGTCAAAACAAGCTGCTACGACTAATTCTCGATGTTCCGTGGTACTTGCGAAATGTGGATTTTCATGAAGACTCCTCAATGGTTGCTTCTGTCAAAGAGGAAATTAAAGGGATTTGCCGGCCTTTGTCAGGGGGAACTCCCAATTCCCAACAACAGTCAAAGTTTCAGAAATCAACAGCTACTCAGATTTGCTTAAAACAGTCGGATGGTCAACGGGTCTTGAATTCCTTCCAAGCATCTTCCGTACTAATGTTGCCACGAACTGTATCCATAGCCTTTTCCAAGTATTCCACTTTGTAATTTATGTAGAGTTTTGACCCTTTAGTTTTTTGCACCATTTTTAATCAGTGACTTCCTTTAATAACAAGAAAAAAAACACCAGAAACAAAAACACAACCTAACCTCGCTTTCGTGACACAGGACTGAATACGTATNCTCTAGATCTATAACTAGAATCATTCGGGTTTGGCCGTCTTAAGAGACGTGCGGCTAAACCCGAATGATTCTAGTTCTTAGTCTAGTGTTGGTTTTAGAGTTAGAACTAAAACTAGACCTAGAACTAGGATCATTCGGGTTTAGCCGTCTTTAGAGACGTGCGGCTAAACCCAAATGATTCTAGTACTAGCTGTAGTGTTAGTTTTGATGCTAGAACTAACACTAGAACTAGAAACATTCTGGTTTAGCCGTCTTAAGAGATGTACGGCTAAACCCGATAAAATATTTCATAATTCTTGCTATTTAAATCATATTTGCATCAATTCTTTTCTATTGAAAATTTCTGTTCAAAATATACAATAGATATAAAACTATTTTTAATGCATAAAATTCTTTAAAATTTTGACATTGAAATAAAAATATGAATTCTGAAAATACGTCTTGAAACATTAATGGTGCAAAAATAAATACACCATTGGGATGTATGATGAGATGTAAGGATTACATCATCTTTCGTATTATCAGAAACCAGTTTAGACGCATTTATTCGGTGAATTCCCTAGAAATAGTCGTTTATGGACATAGTGTGTCAATATATGCGTAGTAAGTTTAACGTTTATTTACATGAAGAGTGCTTTGCGAAGTATCACGTGCGTTTTTGCACCAATTTTAGTATAAATATTTTTTGTATTAAACTTCATACTAAAGTTGGTATTTTTTAGTATTATGTTGTATTACTTTTATTATTTATTTATGAGTAATTTGTTACTTAGTTAATAAATGATAATCAAAATAATTTTTTTGTTGTTGTTCGTTTATCTTACCAGTGGTGTATTTTTGTACCATCTCATAAAACAATTTTTTTTTCAAACGCCTGTGTACATTTTTATACTTTTCATTCTATCTTATCTCATGGAAAATTATAAAAAACCGATTTTTTTTAATATAAAGCAGCGTGCGGCTAAACCCGAAAGTCTAGTGTTAGTTCTAGCACCAAAACTAACACTAGACCTAGAACTAGAAAGTTTCCTAGTACATCTTAAGAGTTTTTAAAGTAAAAATTAAAAATTTTAACTTTACTTGTTATAACGAACACTCTCTTCTTCATATTAACTCATTTTGCTGTATTTTTATAGAAATATTTTTTTGTTATAGAAATATCTCCAATGTCGACTAGAAATTTTCCTGCTTCGTTTTGGAATAGTCAACAATATGGGGGTGCGACAGCTCATGGTCACGCGACATCGGCGGATCTTTACCCCGAGCATTACCACCCCGGCGAAGCAGCTTGGTACCCTTACAGCCAACACCACAGGGCGGTACACGATTATCACCACAACATGGCCCAATACTCGGGGTTGTTACTACCCGGAAGCAGACTGCATATGGGGGCGCAATGTAAAGCAATGGATTGGCAACACCCCTCTCTTGACAATCCTTATTCATCATACCCGGGCATGTCAGGTAAATACTTATAATGAATTATTTAAAAAAAAATAAAACAATTTTGTCTTGTGGTTTGGTAGAGTTGTAAAAAGTAGTTGTTTTTAGTTGCCTTTGTAGTAGTTCTTTTACGAGGAGGTGTGGAGGGGTTCGTCTTTAATAAAACAAGAAAATTGTTAGTCGATTTCTGAAATTTCTTAAGCTAATTGGAGAATTTTATCTACGTGAGAATAAAATTTTTGGGGGGATTGGGTTAACGACCTGATAAAAGTCTCTTAATGGTTGGAGTTGTTTTTAAGCAATAATTCGAAAGGAAAATGTTGTTTTGTCATTGGTTGTGAAGTGGGTGTAATTGATGAAAGCAATTATGTCAATTACAAAAAGATATTGAAACTTCACTTAATCTGTCTTATTTCCCCGATTAGAATCTCTCGAAATAAGTTAAACACAAAAACTTTTTATGTCCATTTTTAGTTGAAGAATTAAGGTAATATTAAAAAGAGAAGTGAACCAGACCGAAGAGTGCACGTCGAAGAATGCGTCTAATTTAAATTCCGCGCCGAAGAAAGACGGCCCAGTGAAAGTCTTTATATCTAAAACGCCCGTGTAATAGGCCGCTATTTCGCGTAGATCAAACCTCACCGGAGACGAAGACGCTTGCGCCTCTTCTGTCCCATGCAAAGAGTGAGCGAGACCGAAAAGGAGACGAGAAGAAGTGCGGCCAACCGAAAGGGTCCCCGACGACATGGCCGGAGAAGAAAAGAGAAGACGTTACACGTAGGGATTCCCCCAAGTCGCAAAACGAAGAGAGAGAAATAGAAAAACGTGAGATGAAGAGCGAGAGAGAAATCGACAAAGATAAAGGGAGAGGGTCGCATAGCGAGAATGACAATTACGGCGGAATTCGCGGTATTGCCGCCCGGGGGGAGGAGGCGGAGGAGGGTTTGGGGTTGTGAAGGGGGTCCGCGCGGGGCTTTGGTCATCTCTCGGATGGGGATTGGTCAGAACGCCTATTGATCTCGGGCGGCGGTGCCGGCCTTCGAGGAAACGACGGGAGCCGAAGAAGAGACCCCGGTTTCGCGAAAAATTCAAAACGCAACTCGGAGCGCTTGTTATGACTATATCGGGCCATTCGGCGAGGCAAAAACGACTGGAAAAGTCGTTTACCGCAAATCGAGAGTTGCGTAAGGCGATAACGAGCTTCTTCGACTGTTATCCGTGCTTCTTCTAACTTCAATTCCATCAATTTCTCGTATCTACATCCAAAATAGATCTATAAATCTGTAATTGTTTTAATTTTCAAAATACTTCACCATTCAGAAATTTTTACTAAAAAAGTATTGGTAACATTTTTGTACTATCAAAGTCTACCAACATTAAGTCTTCTTAATCAGAAAACTTTTTTAACTTCACTTGAATAAGTTTTAAACACCTATTGTTCTATTCAAAAGCTTTCATTCATTATCAGAAAACTGTTTTCGTCTTCATTGAATTTTTTAAGATTATTTCCAGTTCACATTATTCTATAATCTCTAGGTTTATCTACAAAATTCTAATGATTTAGACAGTTTTAGTATTTCAGTATTTATCAGTACCTCCACTATTATGTTACTTCATTTTAGGCAGTGTGTCGCGATTGAGATTAATAGACACTGAGTTAGCTATGGGAGTTAGGAATATTTTAACAAACACCCTGCCATCATCTATAGAATAGTATTGGGTTGGTGCTAAACTTTCTTCGTCGATTATCTTCTTTGAAGTAGGAGAACCAGACTTCTATTTTCCATTCTACTCTTACCATGTCCGGATCTTCACTTTCTTTCAATTTTTTGCTCAGGTTTTGAACTTTCTTCTAGAAGCTTCTAGAACGCCTTCATCTAAATTGCTTCCAGTATGTCCACGTCTCTGACGTAGTAATGGAGTATTCTGAACGCAGAAGCTATTTATAAAACTTTATTTTTTTTTCGTTCATGTGGTTTTTAACATTCCTGCTCCCTATATCAAATCTGAACCTGGACTGTTGTTCTTGAAGACCTTTACCTGCTTCCCTTGTTTATCTAGGTATCTTTTCACCACATCTCGAATGTCAGCCTTTGTCAAGGGGAGCCCCCAATTCCCAACAACAGCCAAAGTTTCAGAAATCAACAGACTTGCTTAAAACAGTTGGATGTTCAACGGGTCTTGAATTCCTTCCAAGCATCTTCCGTACTAATGTTGTCACGAATTGTATCTATAGCCTTTTCCAAGTCTTCCACTTTGTAATTTATGTAGAGTTTTGACCCTTTAGTTTTTTGCACCATTTTTAATCAGTGACTTCCTTTAATAACAAGAAAAAAAACACCAGAAACAAAAACACAACCTAACCTCGCTTTCGTGACACAGGACTGAATACGTATGCGTTGTGTCCATGTAGCTCCGGGGTGGCCAAGTAGCCCCATCTTACGGTATCTTCTCGTATTAGCTTATTAAACCTTGGTTATCAGTGGATAAACCATTTTAATTATAAACTGGCAAAAGAGTTATGAGATGTAAATTGTTGGTTGGTCTTATGCTATAAAAATAAATCCATAAATAGAAAAATTTCTTCCTTGGTATTAAGATAGGGAATATGGAGATCCTTACGGCAGATCTTCTTTCATTCTTTTTATGTTGGACACTTTATCTTCAATTTTCGCCTGGAGTACCTATTCTGCAGAAAGCGAGTCATCACTTTGACTAGGTTTCCTTCCAGGTTACTCTCGGTCATTTTAATAAACCTTAAGTAACCGTAAGCCTTTCTGACATTTAATAGCACCGCAATCATATGATATCTTTCCTTCTGGGCAAGTTCCAATGTGCTGATGAGGTTCGTTGCTTGCTGTGCTCCTCCCTCTACGTTCTCTAAATCCAAATTGATCCTGTCTTTTCCACTTCTTCTTGCAGTCATTCTAGAAAAGTTAGTCGCACTATTTTAGAACTCCGTTTTCCGAGTAGTGATGAATCTTTTCTTGGATTTGGGATGTGTTAACAGCATCGCTGATCCACAAGTTTGGGAATGAATTGCATTTTTAAGAACTATCTTTTATAGTTTCTGGGCAAGTTTCAAGGTACTAATGAGATTCATTGCCTGGTGTGCAGCACTTCTCCGTTCCTTAAATCCAAACTGATTCTTCTGGAGTAGTTCTGCTCTCCCTACTTCTTCATGGAGACACTAGCAAAGTTAGTCGCTTTATTTTAGGACTCCTTTTCCCAAGCAGTGATGCATCTTTTCTTAGTTTTGGGATTGCAAGCACCATAGTTGACTATCTTCATGATTTGCATTCTTCAGGACTATCGACAGTATCTTATTTGATTTAGTATCTATTTCTGCCGCGTTTCTTGGATTTAGTATATCAATAGTGTATCTCTCTCTCCGTCATTACTAAAGTTTCTGGATTTCCCCCAGTGATTTTGTTCAACCCTCTCTACAATATTATCACCTAATTTTTCTTTTGTTGTCGAACTGGGATTTTAACTGATTCTCCAAAAGTTATCCAGCCTTTCGTAGCCTAAATAGCCAATTCAGTTATTGGGTTAATTTTTATCAATTGTCCATAAGATATTTACAGAAATCATAGATTGCTATAGACAAGAATCAAATCACTTCAATTTAAATTTGACTAATTTAATTTGGAATAATTTTGAGAAAAGACGAACCTCACCAACAACCTTCTGCCCTAAAACAATCCTCTCCATATTGACCAAATACCGTGGTGTTAAATTTCACATCCCATCAAAAAAGCTAATTTGCACATAATTTGCCTGCGCGATCGAACTAATTTCGATAATTAAAAGTGTGCTTTCTATCAACAGGCTATCACGATCTCCTAAATACCACACCTCCAATGTAATATCACCACTGCCAGTCTCGAAAAGTGGAAAAGTTAGTTCCTATTCTCTAATTTAATAAATAAACGCATTTTATTATAACAATATCTTATCAAGTTCAAGCTTAGTTTGCTATTAGTAAGAAAGTAATTTTAAAAATAATAAAAGATAATTTTAATTAAAGGGTGTTAAACTTATAGGTTTAAATTGGTTTCGTTCTTTTTGCCGTAGGTTTAGAGGCTCAGGTGCAGGATTCGTCGAAGGACTTGTACTGGTTCTAGGACAGAAACTTGTGGTTTACGTGTAAATATAGTTTAAATTCGTTGAGAAAAAAAGTACAAACTGTGAAGACTTGTTGTTTAAATAAAATATGTGCCCAATGGACGCGCGATGAAAACGCGTTCATTCCTCCAGTTTTTGAACCACGCTTCTGAATCCGAATTCAAGAAGATTCAGGCGAATGGACGTAGAAGATGGAGAAGAAGAGGGAGACGAGAAGTTTCCGCTCTTATTGTTACTACATATATACATAAATAATTAATATACATACGTTGGCAAGTGATATGTTTTTAGAGCCAATAATGAAAAATAAAATTATTTAAAGAATTTTGAAACGAGTGGTAAATAAAAAACGAATCGAACCCGTTTAAGGAGACGATATTAAACAATGCGGATTATTTAATAAGATATGTATAAATGTGTATTATTACTGACTAATTGATTTAATAACTATTGTAATTATACCGAAAAGCATTGTCCGTGCAATAAAGTAGCTGCTATTGACAGAAAAGAATTTGTTTTCAGTTTTATTTTTGACTAAGTTATTTCCTTTCATAAATTAAAATTTTATACTTATTTATAATTCATGCACTCACACATACACACATTCAACGCAGACGCATAAATCTATGCGGCGAGATCGTAAAATTAACGATACATGAATTTCAAAACGGCGCAATTAGTTCTTTTATAGCCTAATTCCTAAGTCGGTAGACGGTTTATCCGTCAAAATGATGAATACCAACTGAAGCTTTTAAACTTTGTCTCTGTCACTTTTCCTGTCACTCGATACGCTTGTAAATTAGTGTGAGTAAAATTATCATTTATATTTCGACGAAAAATGTCGTTCCAAATAATTTAATATCGCGACGAAATGAACCTATTCAAAAAAAATCTTTAACTTATTCTTAATTCATCCTCAAAAAATTAAAGTAAAATTTCAAATTTAACACCCCAACATCCCATAAACTAATGATGTCGAACAGATGGCAACACGTGTTAATTAACACTATACCGGAACACTTCGACTTCTTAAAACCGTTTGATGTCCTTTCGGCACGCACAGCGGCGGTTTTTGACTATTACTATTCGAAACTTCAGGTGACCAGATGCGGGACACTTGAGCGAGAGGACCCCGAAAACATCATCAATCAGACGACACTTCCCAATCGGACGCCCCAAAAACGTGAAATATGGCCATAAACGACCGGCAGTGGGCAGGACTACCACTAATTCTAATCAATTCGTCTACTTCCTGACCTCGTAAAGCTGTTCTTTCAACTAAAAACAAACCGTAAATTCGCATTTCGAAATCTTCCACGTGTCAAAATATAGAAAAAAAACTTTTAAAACGTTTTTTTAGGGTTACTTTTTTGGTGTATAATTCGATACCGGGAAGTTGGATAATTCGAAGTAAGGCCGAACCATAAAAAAAGCGAAAGAATTTTGATGAATAATTAAGTATTTTTACTTAATCGCTTGGTCCGGTAATTATGTCATACGGGAATTTCAGGCGGGTTCATGGGCGAGTTTCTTTAATTGTCATTAACGGGTTTTAACTTGAGAATTTAAGTTTTCGCCAAAATTGAGCTTTAATTAATCCTTTTTTACCAAATTATTTGATTATGTGATGTACAGGAATAGGAAATATCTCTTTACACTAAAAGTAGTAATGACAACATTACGTCCGCACATAATTTATCTTACAATACTTGATTTATGCAAAGATTAGTTAGCTTCGTGCAACTCCTTAACTGGATTCGTAGATACACACCAGCTTTAGCATGTGGGTATATATCAAATCTTTGTTGTGAATACCTATTATAGAGAATCTCCTTAATAATACATTTAGTGTCATACCGAGGTGCTTGGTAGCACTACTATGCAACTTAACTTGATTATTAATTATTAGTATGTTTTAGCCCAGGTATGATAAGTTAATAGAGCTAAAGTGGCCCTTGGATGTTAAATTGGCCACATCCTTAAAGTACAAAACTTGAATAACAAATATCTTACCAAGAATTCTGGTTCTTTAAAAATTTATACTCATTACTCATTGTAAAAGATTTTTTTGTCAAATCTTTGCACAAAGCATATACATATATTAACTTAGTACACCAAGTTTGTGTAAAGAAGGTACTAAATTAATTAATTTAGTTGGGTATAAGGATGGAAGGAATTCTAATCCGCATAGATAGAAGAATGTCCAACTAATTTTGAGTAAGTATTGTAGCTTTAACTGCTTCAAAAGATTTTCATTTTGAATTGGTACCAATGATTGCAAAGTTGTGATTCTGGAATTTATTTTGGTATCTGATCATTAGTTATCTTATATCAAATAGATATTAGTAACTCAGAAATTCAGTCTACAAGAATGATTTGGATCTGTTTAAGAAAGCATCTGAGATATTAATCCCAGGTTTACTTGAAATCCAGATTTTGTTAGTAAATAACTAAAGATATTAGATATCACATCGTACAATGTAGCAGAATAGATACTCTTGGTAATTCGGTGAATTTATGGGAAGGATATAATGACATTAAAATAGTTATTGATTTACTCCAACATCACGAATACCTTTAGGTGATTTGCATGGATCTCAAAATGGAGAGCTTTCTTTTATCTACACTAAAAAATTGTAACTATAAAATTAAAAAAGTAGAATATATGTCAAGTAATGTGAATAATTGCATCTCAAACTTCATAAATCATAAGTAGATGATGACAGTAAAGCTGCATCAGAGCTGTTTTAAGTTCTTGTGTAAATTTAACATACTCAATTTATTAAGTATATAGTACTTGCAAAATTTTAGCATTCAAACAACATCCAGAACTTATGGAACTAGATCAAATCATGACAGAAAACATGACAAGAAGGGTGTCAAATTGAATTCTAGATGGAACTTAACTTTGTGATTGAAAGATGTCATCATAAATTAACATACTTGAGATAAATTTTGTTATTAAATTAGGGATACCTAATTAGGGATTGATAATCAGTTGTTATCCCGAATTCTGCAATCACAAATTTGTGATTTTCAAAGAATATAAGATCCAAAAGGACAAATTTGTGCTTTCAATATTTCAGATGTCAGTCTCCAGTTATTGCCTAAACCCAAGTTTGTAAGCATATAAATATGAATGAAAAGTATATCAATAATGGATATTCATACGAATATCTGGACTGTGTTTAGCCCTAAAAGCATTCACCATCACTGTTATTATAAGATAATTGGTGTTCAATTCGAATTTTTAGAAGCATTTAGACATTTGATGTCCCAATCTTTTTGTCATATGATCTTCAACGTCAGCTAGTAAAATGAGAGTATGATTATATGAAACAATGATGAATGAGGCGGGAAAACCTTGTGACTGGTAACTTGCACTAAAAGATCAGACGATGTTTTATATGAAACAATAGTACAATACAAGTATTGTACCTATTCACATCGTGGACCAACCCCACATTGTATCACTACAATTAAGGAGATGTTACATCAAAATGTTACATCCAAAAAGCATTGGATGAAAAGCAAATGCCTTCATCACTTGGCCTCAGGTCTTATCCCCTTTGATTGTTATTTATGACGGCAAGATTTAATATAATTCAGATATTCTTAAGTTGGAGGTAATGGGTAAGATTCTCCGCTTGTTTCTTCAACATATTTATGTTTAAATGATTAACGTTATTGTTATGATACCAAATCTTCTTGACACAAAAATAAAATTGCACATAGCTGAGATGGTTCCACCAGTAGCAAACAAACATAGGAGGATACCTTCCTTTTCATTTAAGACCACAAGTAGAAGAAGAAATAAACTGATTGGAAAAACAAGGAACTATCGAAGTTGCAACAGGAGAAACACCTATAGTAATTGTAGCAAAAAGAGAAACAGGCAAATTTAGAATTTGTGTAGACATGAAAAGAAGCTAACAAAGCAATAATGAGGGAAAGGCATCCAACGCCTACCACAGATGAAGTTATATCACTTTTAAATGGAACAACAAAGTTGTCTAAAATTGACCTCAATGAAGGTTATCACCAATTAACTTTAAACGAAAAGTCACGATACATAACAGCAGCTGAAATATTTTAAAATACGATTAGACAAGTGTTAACAGGAATAAACGGTGTATTAAACATCAGTGATGATATTCTAGTTTTTGGACAAACTCAAGTCGAACATGACAAAGTCCTAGAAAGAGTACTTGAACGATTTCAACAAACAATCGAACAATTAATGTAAAAAAATGTGTATTTAACACCGATAAGATTAAATTCTTCGGATACATATTTGCAGCAGATGGAATATATCCAGATCCTGAAAAAGTAGAGAGCATATTAAACTTGAAACCACCGCAAGAACAACAACAACTGAGAAGTTTTCTAGGAATGATAACGTACGTAGGAAAATTCCTTCCTAATTTATCAAGCAATACAGAAATTCTGCGGAAATTAATATCAAAGTCAGGAAAATGGATTTGGACTAACGAACATGGACAATCTTTTCAGTTCTTAAAGAAACAATTAAGTTGTGCTGACAAATTAGCTTGTTATGACATACTCAAAGACCTACCTTAGCCGTCTTTAGAGACTTGCGGTAAACTCAAATGTTTCTAGTTCTCGGTCTAGTGTTAATTCCACTTTTACACTAGCACTATCACTAAAACTAACACAAGTCCTAGAACTAGAATCATTCGGGTTTAGCAGTCTTGAGAGACGTGCGGCTAAACTAAATTGTGGTATATTTCTATTTAACGAAAAGTAGAACTAGCACTAGACCTAGAACCAGAAACATTTGGGTTTAGCCGTGCATCTCTTAAGACTTCCAAAAACTCAGGATTATCATAATGACGTTACCTTTTTCCAAGCAAAACTTTTCATTCATACATTACGAGTTATATGAAATTCCTAGTATAAGAAATCGTGCATTTTTCCACTATGTTAAAGACAATTAAGAACAATATCTTAGTAATTTGTAAATACAATGTGTGATACGTCATCGATACAATTATAAGGTCCGGTAGAAAAAGGATATAAAATACAAGTAGTTGGAGAGATGGTCGACGGTATTCTATGGTAATCCGGTACTAATAGGATACGGTACGAAGTCCTGTCGGCGGCGTTGTCCTTCGGCGGCCGCCATCCGCTTCTGACAGCGCGTTCTTCATCCGTGTTCCCTTGTTAACAATTGATACAGGGGCCGAGCTCTTCCTTGACAAGTGTCGGCGACTTTCCCGTCGACATTCTAGTCTCCCTATCTTGCGACCCGAAGCCGTGCATCTTATGCTAATCGCGCGGCTCGATCGAAGATCGGAATAAATCATTTCGGTACGGTCACCCGAAAAACGACCGGAGATTTCTAGGATAATAGAAATTAAGGGAAAAACTCGGAGTTGTCGACGACAACGGGAGGCGCGGGGTAACGTCCTTAAGACAATTCCACTTATCGTTTGTTTTTGTCGACGACATTCCCGGGCCGCAACGGCGGCGAACCGCTTGACAGATTTATAATAGTTTTCGATCACTCGTTATAGTTATTTACAGTTCTTCAAAGTGATTAATACCTTCGTCTATATATATACGCCGACCGATTGTCCGAGTTGAGCCAACTATTCCACTCTACCTTTGGCTTCGCTTTGGCATTAGGCTACGTTGTCACCAATTAAACTAATAATAACAATTCAAAGAAATAAATTTTAAAAAAAAAATAATGAATTACGATTTACATGATTGCGAACTTAACCATACAGCTAACTTTAGACTTTAGCATACATTTTGATAATGAAATTAAATCATCTTAAACCAACACATGTAAAACGATTCCATGACATGAATCTTATATTCTTGTCCCACGCGTAGCTAATTAACAAAGAGACAACAAGAGATGATGATCTTGTTGTGGAGGTTGGTTTACGTCCGGGAGGAAACTACAAATCCTTATTTTGACGCCCGTCCGTCCGCCTATATTCTCCTCTCACGAGTTGAAGAAGCTTTTTGCGTTCGTGATTTATAAGCGATTCGTTGGCGTGGATTTCCACGGCCCCGTCGTGTTGACACGCCGTCTCCGATGAGTTATCACCGGGCAGATGCGGATACTACTCGCGAACAGCACCACTGTGGGAGACGCGCTCTTGAATAACCGCAGCAGCAGGAACCGAAAGGAACCGAGAAGAAGCTCTTGAAACGCACAACCGAGAAGAAACACAGCTGTTCGCGGGACTCCCGCAGACTGCTCGGTTTCTCGTGCTTCCGTCCCCCTCGTTCTAAATGATTTACTGAGACACACGTGTATGTTAAGAACCAGAAAAGGCACTTCCCTTCTTCTCCTTTCCGTGTGTTTCATAAAAAAAATTATCTGTTCTGGATAAGGAAAATTAAAAAAAAAGTAAATAAAGAAACAAATTGCAAAAAAAAGTAAAGCTTCGAAAAGGAGTTGTCTTGGTTAATTAACACTTTACGGCTAACGGGTCTTTAGCCATTTGGAATATTTAACATGTACCCCGGGGAGTTGGGGAGTTAGTTGGTATTCAAACGGTGCGAGACCCACTTAAATAGGAAATGTCCCCGTGCCCAAAACTCCTCCTCTTCATGCCATTAGTAGTAGGAAGCGGTATCATTTAAAACGTGTCGGGTTTAAAGTAAAAAATTTGTTGTGTGCAAACTTCATTAAGGAAATGGGAAAGAAGTCCCGTTTTATTTTTCTTTCCATTTTAACTCCAACGAGTATTTTCTGTTACGCATTAAACACAAACTAATTATTTACTCGAGTGCTAACAAATTAACTAAAGTAATGNAACAATCCTCTCCATATTGACCAAATACCGTGGTGTTAAATTTCACATCCCATCAAAAAAGCTAATTTGCACATAATTTGCCTGCGCGATCGAACTAATTTCGATAATTAAAAGTGTGCTTTCTATCAACAGGCTATCACGATCTCCTAAATACCACACCTCCAATGTAATATCACCACTGCCAGTCTCGAAAAGTGGAAAAGTTAGTTCCTATTCTCTAATTTAATAAATAAACGCATTTTATTATAACAATATCTTATCAAGTTCAAGCTTAGTTTGCTATTAGTAAGAAAGTAATTTTAAAAATAATAAAAGATAATTTTAATTAAAGGGTGTTAAACTTATAGGTTTAAATTGGTTTCGTTCTTTTTGCCGTAGGTTTAGAGGCTCAGGTGCAGGATTCGTCGAAGGACTTGTACTGGTTCTAGGACAGAAACTTGTGGTTTACGTGTAAATATAGTTTAAATTCGTTGAGAAAAAAAGTACAAACTGTGAAGACTTGTTGTTTAAATAAAATATGTGCCCAATGGACGCGCGATGAAAACGCGTTCGTTCCTCCAGTTTTTGAACCACGCTTCTGAATCCGAATTCAAGAAGATTCAGGCGAATGGACGTAGAAGATGGAGAAGAAGAGGGAGACGAGAAGTTTCCGCTCTTATTGTTACTACATATATACATAAATAATTAATATACATACGTTGGCAAGTGATATGTTTTTAGAGCCAATAATGAAAAATAAAATTATTTAAAGAATTTTGAAACGAGTGGTAAATAAAAAACGAATCGAACCCGTTTAAGGAGACGATATTAAACAATGCGGATTATTTAATAAGATATGTATAAATGTGTATTATTACTGACTAATTGATTTAATAACTATTGTAATTATACCGAAAAGCATTGTCCGTGCAATAAAGTAGCTGCTATTGACAGAAAAGAATTTGTTTTCAGTTTTATTTTTGACTAAGTTATTTCCTTTCATAAATTAAAATTTTATACTTATTTATAATTCATGCACTCACACATACACACATTCAACGCAGACGCATAAATCTATGCGGCGAGATCGTAAAATTAACGATACATGAATTTCAAAACGGCGCAATTAGTTCTTTTATAGCCTAATTCCTAAGTCGGTAGACGGTTTATCCGTCAAAATGATGAATACCAACTGAAGCTTTTAAACTTTGTCTCTGTCACTTTTCCTGTCACTCGATACGCTTGTAAATTAGTGTGAGTAAAATTATCATTTATATTTCGACGAAAAATGTCGTTCCAAATAATTTAATATCGCGACGAAATGAACCTATTCAAAAAAAATCTTTAACTTATTCTTAATTCATCCTCAAAAAATTAAAGTAAAATTTCAAATTTAACACCCCAACATCCCATAAACTAATGATGTCGAACAGATGGCAACACGTGTTAATTAACACTATACCGGAACACTTCGACTTCTTAAAACCGTTTGATGTCCTTTCGGCACGCACAGCGGCGGTTTTTGACTATTACTATTCGAAACTTCAGGTGACCAGATGCGGGACACTTGAGCGAGAGGACCCCGAAAACATCATCAATCAGACGACACTTCCCAATCGGACGCCCCAAAAACGTGAAATATGGCCATAAACGACCGGCAGTGGGCAGGACTACCACTAATTCTAATCAATTCGTCTACTTCCTGACCTCGTAAAGCTGTTCTTTCAACTAAAAACAAACCGTAAATTCGCATTTCGAAATCTTCCACGTGTCAAAATATAGAAAAAAAACTTTTAAAACGTTTTTTTAGGGTTACTTTTTTGGTGTATAATTCGATACCGGGAAGTTGGATAATTCGAAGTAAGGCCGAACCATAAAAAAAGCGAAAGAATTTTGATGAATAATTAAGTATTTTTACTTAATCGCTTGGTCCGGTAATTATGTCATACGGGAATTTCAGGCGGGTTCATGGGCGAGTTTCTTTAATTGTCACTAACGGGTTTTAACTTGAGAATTTAAGTTTTCGCCAAAATTGAGCTTTAATTAATCCTTTTTTACCAAATTATTTGATTATGTGATGTACAGGAATAGGAAATATCTCTTTACACTAAAAGTAGTAATGACAACATTACGTCCGCACATAATTTATCTTACAATACTTGATTTATGCAAAGATTAGTTAGCTTCGTGCAACTCCTTAACTGGATTCGTAGATACACACCAGCTTTAGCATGTGGGTATATATCAAATCTTTGTTGTGAATACCTATTATAGAGAATCTCCTTAATAATACATTTAGTGTCATACCGAGGTGCTTGGTAGCACTACTATGCAACTTAACTTGATTATTAATTATTAGTATGTTTTAGCCCAGGTATGATAAGTTAATAGAGCTAAAGTCACCCTTGGATGTTAAATTGGCCACATCCTTAATGTACAAAACTTGAATAACAAATATCTTACCAAGAATTCTGGTTCTTTAAAAATTTATACTCATTACTCATTGTAAAAGATTTTTTGCCAAATCTTTGCACATATTAACTTAATACACCAAGTTTGTGTAAAGAAGGTACTAAATTAATTAATTTAGTTGGGTATAAGGATGGAAGGAATTCTAATCCGCATAGATAGAAGAATGTCCAACTAATTTTGAGTAAGTATTGTAGCTTTAACTGCTTCAAAAGATTTTCATTTTGAATTGGTACCAATGATTGCAAAGTTGTGATTCTGGAATTTATTTTGGTATCTGATCATTAGTTATCTTATATCAAATAGATATTAGTAACTCAGAAATTCAGTCTACAAGAATGATTTGGATCTGTTTAAGAAAGCATCTGAGATATTAATCCCAGGTTTACTTGAAATCCAGATTTTGTTAGTAAATAACTAAAGATATTAGATATCACATCGTACAATTCAGCAGAAAAGATACTCTTAGTCATCCCGTGAATTTATAGGAAGGATATAATGACATTAAAATAGTTATTGATTTACTCCAACATCACGAATACCTTTAGGTGATTTGCATGGATCTCAAAATGGAGAGCTTTCTTTTATCTACACTAAAAAATTGTAACTATAAAATTAAAAAAGTAGAATATATGTCAAGTAATGTGAATAATTGCATTTCAAGCTTCATAAATCAAAAGTAAATCAAGAGTATGAGATATTTAACTTTAGACAATGTAAACAATTTTCTGACGAAAGAATCGATCAATATTACGCAAGACTTTTAAAACTTTCGAAAACATGTAATTTTGATAATCCAGAAAATGAAATAAAGTCACAAATAATATTAAACACTAACTCGAATGAAATTAGGAAATACAGGCTAACGGAACGACCTAATTTAGAAGATTTACACACAAGAGCAAGAAGTTTAGAATCAACAAAAAAACAATTGAAAAAAGATATGGAAACCAAGAACGTACGAGAGGTAAACGGGATAAAAGATAACAAAAATTTTAATGAAACGAAAAGAATTTCAAAATCAACGCCAATGTAAAAATTGTGGCAACATATGGCACAAGAATGGAAGGCAAATATGCCCGGCATACAACATTGACTGTCACTACTGTGGAAAGCGTGAACATTTTGCAACAGTCTGCATGGCTAAACCACGAGAGCAATAAAAGGGACAAACACACAAACAGCACCAAAACCAACGAAACAATGATAAACAAACAAAACAACAACAAAGCTGAAGAATCATCAGATTCTGAAAATTCGTTTTCGTTAACAATCAACACAATAAATACAATTCCTAGGACAGATATTTCAATGAATGGAAATAAAATAAATTTTGTTATTGATACTGGATCCCCAGTTAATATAATTAACAAAAAGATATCTGAAATAAACATATCGACTAAAGACTTGACATCAACATCCACATCAGTTGTGACATATAACTCTAACGATAAACTTAATATTTTGGGTAAATTTACAGCAAAATTTGAATACCATAATCGCCAAGTCGAAACAGATGTATTGGTAATAAATGGAATGGGCGAACCATTGCTTAGTTATAACACAGCTAGAAAATTTAAAACCATCTACAACATATCCAAAAGGAATACCCCAATTTACTAACTGGACTTGGAAATTTGAAAAACACAAAAATAAAATTGCACATAAATGAGATGGTTCCACCAGTAGCAAACAAACACAGGAGGATACCTTTTCATTTCAATAAACAGATTGGAAAAACAAGGAACTAGCGAAGTTGCAACAGGAAAACCACCATGGGTTTCATCCATAGTAATTGCACCAAAAAGAGAAACAGGCAAATTTAGAATTTGTGTAGACATGAGAAAAGCTAACAAAGCAATAATGAGGGAAAGGCATCCAACGCATGAAGTTATATCACTTTTAAATGGAGCAACAAAGTTCTCTAAAATTGACCTCAATGAAGGTTATCACNATAAACTGATTGGAAAAACAAGGAACTATCGAAGTTGCAACAGGAGAAACACCTATAGTAATTGTAGCAAAAAGAGAAACAGGCAAATTTAGAATTTGTGTAGACATGAAAAGAAGCTAACAAAGCAATAATGAGGGAAAGGCATCCAACGCCTACCACAGATGAAGTTATATCACTTTTAAATGGAACAACAAAGTTGTCTAAAATTGACCTCAATGAAGGTTATCACCAATTAACTTTAAACGAAAAGTCACGATACATAACAGCAGCTGAAATATTTTAAAATACGATTAGACAAGTGTTAACAGGAATAAACGGTGTATTAAACATCAGTGATGATATTCTAGTTTTTGGACAAACTCAAGTCGAACATGACAAAGTCCTAGAAAGAGTACTTGAACGATTTCAACAAACAATCGAACAATTAATGTAAAAAAATGTGTATTTAACACCGATAAGATTAAATTCTTCGGATACATATTTGCAGCAGATGGAATATATCCAGATCCTGAAAAAGTAGAGAGCATATTAAACTTGAAACCACCGCAAGAACAACAACAACTGAGAAGTTTTCTAGGAATGATAACGTACGTAGGAAAATTCCTTCCTAATTTATCAAGCAATACAGAAATTCTGCGGAAATTAATATCAAAGTCAGGAAAATGGATTTGGACTAACGAACATGGACAATCTTTTCAGTTCTTAAAGAAACAATTAAGTTGTGCTGACAAATTAGCTTGTTATGACATACTCAAAGACCTACCTTAGCCGTCTTTAGAGACTTGCGGTAAACTCAAATGTTTCTAGTTCTCGGTCTAGTGTTAATTCCACTTTTACACTAGCACTATCACTAAAACTAACACAAGTCCTAGAACTAGAATCATTCGGGTTTAGCAGTCTTGAGAGACGTGCGGCTAAACTAAATTGTGGTATATTTCTATTTAACGAAAAGTAGAACTAGCACTAGACCTAGAACCAGAAACATTTGGGTTTAGCCGTGCATCTCTTAAGACTTCCAAAAACTCAGGATTATCATAATGACGTTACCTTTTTCCAAGCAAAACTTTTCATTCATACATTACGAGTTATATGAAATTCCTAGTATAAGAAATCGTGCATTTTTCCACTATGTTAAAGACAATTAAGAACAATATCTTAGTAATTTGTAAATACAATGTGTGATACGTCATCGATACAATTATAAGGTCCGGTAGAAAAAGGATATAAAATACAAGTAGTTGGAGAGATGGTCGACGGTATTCTATGGTAATCCGGTACTAATAGGATACGGTACGAAGTCCTGTCGGCGGCGTTGTCCTTCGGCGGCCGCCATCCGCTTCTGACAGCGCGTTCTTCATCCGTGTTCCCTTGTTAACAATTGATACAGGGGCCGAGCTCTTCCTTGACAAGTGTCGGCGACTTTCCCGTCGACATTCTAGTCTCCCTATCTTGCGACCCGAAGCCGTGCATCTTATGCTAATCGCGCGGCTCGATCGAAGATCGGAATAAATCATTTCGGTACGGTCACCCGAAAAACG